TCAATAGTACAGACTTTCGTAGAATTGTAGCCAAGCTGGGAATGGAKGATCTCTATTCACCAGCTTGAGGGGGAGTGTTGGAAAACGTGGGGTTACTGGTGTAGATGCATATTTGGTAGTTGTGTAAAAATAGAATTGTGTGAATATGTATTCCTAGGATTGTGAAAAAGTATAATCCCTTAAAGATGGGGATTAAAATAGTTAATCCCTTAATTAGAGGGATTGATTTAGGAAGATGTTTTCTATTTATTGCAGCAGCTTACTGTATAAATATGCCGATTAGCAATGGAATGAAACAAGATCAGTTTTTTACCATTACAAAACACCCCTGGAGGTAAAGACGTATAGACCTCTTCATGTATGTCTCCATTCAAGAAAGCATTTTTAACATTGAATTGATGAAGTGGCGAATCAAAAGTAGTAGTTAAAGATAGCAAAACTCAAACTAAAGTCATTTTGGCCATTGAGGTAAAAGTCTCCAAGTATTGCAGAACCTCAATATCCATGGTCTTATTAGCTAAATGGCAATTGGCACATACAATACGCTTAGTCGCTTCTCGTGGATTTTCATAACCCTACTGTGCAAAAATGTGATATGCATTTGAAATGGATGTCTGAGTTATTACATATATCATGATCGATACGGAAATGGATTGAGTCATCTGTAGGACAAGTGTTTGGAAATGCAATGAGATGTACATTTCCGTTTGCCTTTGCGAAGAGCAATACAAAGATCAAGGTCAAGGAAGGTATCAAAAGTTGTAGAAGGGGGCTGACCTATTACCTCAGTAGTGATGGGAGGTGCAAGAGGCTCATCTAAAGGTATGAAAACAACTTTCACAACCTTGATTTTTTGTCTCTGGTACCACCTCTAAACAATAGGATGGGGAGAAAATGTGGGAGAATGAGCAGGAAGAGGAGGGGGAGTAGGAACATGAGAAGAAGACCCGATAGAAGAATCGGTGAGAGAAGACTTACTAGAAGACTCAATGGGAATTGGAAGAGGGATAGATGGTGACATCGCAAACCACTCCTTTGAATGTTCCCCCTCAGGAGAAGTACCAAAGAAAGGAATTGACTCAACAAAATGTGACATCTCTAGAAAAAAAGTTAGTTCCACGAACTGAATCAAAACAACCATACCCCTTTTGTGTGGAGGCATATCCCAAGAAGACACACTTATGTGCTTTAGGCTCAAACTTATGTCTCTGATGACTATGAACATGAACATAACAAGTACACCCAAACACTCGGAGAGGAAGAGAGAAGAAATCCTCATTTGGAAATAGGAGGCTAAAGGGGGTTTTAAAACCCAGAACTCGGGAAGGCATCCAGTTTATCAAGTATGTAGCTGTAAGGACAACATCCCCCCAAAACTTAATAGGAACATGAGGAGCAAAAAGGAGGCTCCTCGCAACTTCAACCACATGTCGGTTCTTCCTTTCCACCACTCCATTTTGTTGTGGAGTGTAGGATTAAGAACCTTGATGAATAACTCCAAAGGTATCAAAGTAGTTGTAAGGACAACATCTCCCCAAAACTTAATAGGAACATGAGAAGCAAAAAGGAGGCTCCTCGCAACCTTAACCACATGTTGGTTCTTCCTTTCCTCAAAGTAGGAGGAAAGGCTCTTCTAAAAATATTCCTTTGCATTATTAGATTGGAATATTTTGATCTGAGTATTAAACTGGGTAAGAATAAGTTGATGAAATTTTTGTACAATATTTGGCACTTCATCCCGGGATCTCATAAGGTAAATCCAGGTGTAACGAGAAAAATCATCAATGAAAGGATGAAACACTTGTAACCCCCCATATTAGAGTGCACAATATGGTAAGGAAAAATTGATCTTTTATTACTCATTGAAAAAGATTGTCTACAATGTTTTGCAAGTTCACATGACTCATAATGAAGACTCGATAGGGATATTCCCTTAAACATTTCTAGAAACAAATGACTCAAAATTGAAAAAGACAAATTACCAAATCTCAAATGACATAACATGACTCTATCAACTGACTCTGATGAGATAGACTCCAAAGCTACTCCACTAGGTGGTCCAAGACTTTGATCAGAGATATCCATCAAATATATTCCATTCGCCTCATGGTCACTCCCAATCGTCGTCTGAGTTTTCAGGTCTTGAAAAACATAACGAGTAGGAAAGAAGATGACACTCAAATTCATTGATTTAGTTAAGCTTGTAACTGATAAAAGGTTAGTGTTAAATTTGGGAACATGAAGGACAAAGGAAAAAACAAGTCAGAGGCTCTAATATTCCCTTTTTCAGAGATGGGAGCAAGAGACCCACCGGCAATGGGAAATCTTCTCTCTACCAAAGAGGAGCTGGTATGAATAAAAAAGGTTAGATATGCTAGTCATGTAGTTTTGATACAGCAAAATCTATAATCCAAGGAATTCTACGATTATTTTAGGCTGTAGCATGATTTGCAGAAGCACGAATACTTGAATCGGCAAATGCAGATGAAAAGGTGTTGCTTGAGGAGGAGGTTGCAACAATAGTCTCCAAGTGATTAATTCACCTCCAATATCTCTCAAATTCTGCCTTCACTGCTGCAAGCTGCTCCACAACAAAATTTTCTTTAGTTTCTCTATTTCCACCTTCAGATGCTCTAGCAACATTTGCATTCTTGGGCTTTCCAGACTGGCCACCTTTCTTAAAGTTGTTGTAGTTGTTCCAAAACCTATCTGGAAGAAGATCTGGATGAAGTTTCCAACAAGTATCCTTAGTATGTTTTGGTTTCTTGCAGTGTTCATATATCACCTCTTTTTTCTCAGTTGGCCCCTTTGGTTTTATTCCAGCATGTGCAAAATGTTTTGGAGGTGGTGGAACTTCTAGCTGTACCTGTCGCCTGAGCAAGTGTTACTTCATCCTTTGCCAAAATATTCTGTCTCGTAATATCAAATTTAGGGTTGAGTCTTGTAAGAAACTCAAACACCCTGTTTCTTTCCACAAATTTCCTGAATGTCTCTGACTATCTGCATCCTTGGTGCTTTCCCATACAACTGCTTCCATAGCATCAATCTCTTGCCATAGTGACTTCAACATTGAGTAGTAGCAACTACACTCTTCTCCCCCTGTTTCAGATTTTTCACATCATTCTTTAGTTTGTAGGCCCTTGCAACATTCAATTTCTGAGAATATGTTTTTGTAACACTATCCGAAATCTTCTTGGTTGAAGGCGTCCAAAGATAATGTTGACTTATGTGGGGCTGCATAGAATTTACCAACCATCCAATAAATATGTAGTTATCTTGCATCCATTTCTCATATGTAGGATTAGTCTCTTCTGGTTTCTCCTTGCTACTCGTGAGAAACCCTAGTTTACCTCTACTACAAACATGAATCTTTATAGATTGTGCCCAAGCTAAATAATTTGTTCCGTCAAGTTTGATTGTAGTCATTCCTGTCAAAATGGAATTTATGAGACCACCCCCCGACACTGGAATCTGCTTCATCTCACTTCTAGATTGCTCCGTAGATCAAACGAAAATAAAAAAACAAGGTTTTCAAGCTTTATAGGCCTAATTGAGATCAGTCCAACATTTTAAAAATCCCAAAACTAGGGTTTCACTGTACCTGGCCTTTGGGGAGAAAGAGAGAAGTAGTCGCTCCAACCAGAGCTTCCCAAACCTCTTCTTGGCAATTTACAGCCAAATTCTGACTCTCCAAACCCTCTACGAACTAGGCATACAAGTTCTTTGAATAACCAATAACTTGTTTATCTATACACTCTTCTAATCGAAAGGTGTATGGGAAAAGAAAAGAATAAAGAAAAAAATAATAAAAGAGAATGAAGACCTGCTCTGATACCAAGATGTTATATAGACCAATAAAAAATAGTAAAAATAGTTCAGATTATAACAAAAGAGGAAGAGAAGAAGAAGAAGAGAAGAAGAAGAAGAAGGGAGAAGGGAGAAAGAAGGAGTTCGATAATCTCTTCTTTCTCCTCTCAAATCTTTTATTGATCTTACTAAGATTCCATAAATTACAAGTCTGCCCTTAAGTGGGCATCCACTTCATTAGCATACTTAGAAAACATAAAGAGAATTAAAGGCCCATTAAGATAAATAACAAGAAGAACTAATCAATAAGATAGAAATGGACTAGGACCCATTCGACCCAGTCTCTCTACACTCCCCCTCAAGCAGGGCATAGATATCAATCATGCCCAACTTGCTTATATAGTGAACCAACTTTTCTTTAGGAACACTTTTTGTCAAAACATCAGCCAACTGTTCTTCAGAAGCAATAAATGGCAGCCAACTGTTCAAGATGTTGTCAAGAGCTATGAACATTTAAGTTAGATTAGTAAGAAGATCCGCTAATGGCTTGGTGGGTGGATTAGCTAAGCAAGAAGAGCATAGAAATACTTGTATTGGGCTCAATTGTAATGGGGGGTGGGGGGTTCTTTTGATGTAAAGGGAATTCAGATGTAACAACTACTTATTGTGACCTTTCTCTTAATTAGATTTAATAAAATTTTATTTTCTGCTGACAAAGAAGTGCTTAATCCTGACTAGAGCATTCCATTGAGGAACCCATAGTTTCTGCATAAATTATCTTGCCACAGTTAGAAAGGAGGTATCTGGTCATTTAATTGTCAATTAATTCAACTTCCCAACTAATCTTCTATAGCTGCTTGGATCACCAGTGCCAAGCAAATAACCTTGATCACTGTTTAGCTTTAAATTAGGCTCCATCGAATATCTATAGTATGCACATTTCACTAATTGAAGAGCAATAAATCAGGATATCTATGGTGTAGTGTTTGAAAAACAATTATCTTTTCTTTTTATGTAAAAATTGTCCAATTTTCATGAAATGGCATGAACCTTTTATTGCTAATATATCAATTCTTCAAAATTCAGGTATCTGGAGACTGCACATATTTTGATTGCAAAAAGTTGCCAACAATTCTGGAGACAGAGGAACTGAATAGTGTGCCAATTGGAGTACCTATTCCTAACTGTGATGTAGCACTTGTTCAAGAATTGAATGCTTCCCGTGAAGGAGAAATATATGTTAGTGGTCACTGTATGTCCATGGGGTACCTCCTTAATTCTACTTTTATGACTTCAGACCATGTAGAGTTGCCTCAGAACTCCATTCTAATTGGTCCTTCCATCAAGAACCCTGGAACTCAATTATATTTTAAAACTGGTGATATTGCAAGGCAGCTTCCAACTGGTGATTTGGTTTTCTTGGGAAGAAGGGATCGTATTGTGAAAATCAATGGGCAACGTGTTGCTTTAGAGGAGATTGAAAATACCTTGAGGGATCATCCTGATGTGGTTGATGCTGCTGTAATACATCATAAATTTCAAGGTGAAATTGGTTACCTTGTAGCTTACTTAGTATCCAACAGGACAGATGAATTCTTTAAACTTTTGATCTCTTCTGTTAGAAGTTGGTTGACAAGAAAGCTACCACCAGTTATGATCCCCCAACATTATTTATGTATTGACTCACTGCCTATATCTTCCACGGGGAAAATAGATTATGCTATTCTGGAAGGATCAGAATTTCTTGGGCAAGAGATCTTGAATGATACTGATGATTCTGAATCTGTTAGATGTCTTAAGCAAACTATTAAACAGGTTTGTTCTTCACCTCTTACACATTCTATAGTTATAGCTTTTCTGGTTATTTGCTACTTTTAGCAAGTTACTTTTACTTTCTTTTGAGTGGGAGATGACTATCCTTGATGAATTACAGGAATGTTCTCTTAGGTTAAATCAATAGTTCAGTTGTTATAGGGAGTATCTTGTGTAATTTATGTTGAAGAGAATTTACCAAAACAAAAATATCAAAGAACATGACCAGTGGTGCACATGCCAGTGCCATGATTCATTGTATGAAATTGTGGTTTGCATCACATATGTGACAAGTAAGTTCCCAACAAAGTTGTTTCATTTGATACGTCATATGCTTTGCATAACTAGCAGATGTGTATTTCTGACCATTTATAGTACTATATATAACAAAAAGGTTCTGTGCATGCACCCCAATACTGCTCTTGTAAGCTAGAAACTCAAATGTACCTCTCTGTTAGGCACCACTTGGAGGGGGTAGTTGGGGATCCCTCTGTTTGAGAACTGCACAGGACTCCCAAGTGGCATCATGAACTGGTAGTCCTGTCCATTCTACTAGGGCCTGTTGCTGAATTTGCTTCCCCACCTTGATCCAACGATAGTCCAGGATGTTCCGAGGCTGTAGTTGTAGTAAGCCTGTGCCATCAAATTCTGGCAGAACGGTGGAGCTTGTTATGTTGTTTCCCACGCATTGTTTAAGGAGAGAGATGTGGAAAACTGGGTGTACCTGTGAGGAGGCTGAGAGATCTAATCTGTATGCCACCGGCCCAATTCGTTCCGTAATCTCAAACGGCCCATAAAACTTAGGTGATAGCTTGTGCCACCCTTTCCGAGCCAGAGAGGTTTGTCTATATGGGTGTAACTTGAAATAGACACACTCCCCAACCTGGAATTCCACTTCTCTGTTTTTTATCATAATTGGCTTTCATCCATGATTGTGCTTGCATGAGGTTGGCTTTGAGATTTTTGATGATATTATCTCTTTCATATAGGTGCTGGTCTACCGCCTCCAATTCTGTTTAGCCAGGTTCATAGGGTAATATTGATGGTGGGTCATGTCCATACAGGGCTTTAAAAGAGGTCATGCCTGCTGCACTATGGAACATAGAGTTGTACCAAAATTCTGCCCATGGCAGCCATTGAGCCCATGTCTTTGGGTTTTCTCCTGTAAAGCATCATAGATAGGTCTTGATGCAACGATTAAGTATCTCCATTTGTCCATCGGTTTGTGGATGGTAGGTAGTGGATCTGTGGAGCAAGGTGCCTTAGGAGAACTCAGCCCTAAAAGATAGCTGTTAGAGTGAGGGAACCCAAGTACATATCTACCGCACAACAGTATCCCATACTACCAGTGTGGGATATCTTATATTATCATCCCATACTACCAATGTTGGACAAAGGGATCGTAACACTCTCCATCTTAGTCTTGTAGGAAACAGCATCGGCCTTGCACACTGGTGTATGTGAATTATAGTAGTCAAGATCCTTCCACATATTGTGCATCACTGAGATGGATGTGAGAGGAATTTGATTATTATTGATTCATATAAACCAGTGTGTATGGCTGGTGCTCTAGAAGAGTAAGAGGAGGAGAGCTCCTATATTTGAGTTTCTATCTTCTCGATTTTGATTTTTAGCTCGTCTGAGTTTAGATTCTTAGTGGTGATGAGCTGCCTAGGTAGAATTAGGTGAATGTACAAGTTCAAAGTATGGAGAGCTGAAGAATCACTATGCAATAGTATGGGATTGCTTCTTTGGATAGATTTGCCCTTGTATCTACTCCTTACAAGGATATGAGTGGGATGACTGAGAAGGTGGATAGGTTTTAGAAGAGCATATATGGATTTCATCAAAAGAATCTGATATCAGGTTCGAGGTGTTTCATGAATTAGATTTTGGCATGACCTTTGGTGTGAAAATGTTGGAGTGAAAAATTAAAAAGAAACCACGGAAGAAGAAACAATGTTTATTGAGGTTATTGCAGTGGTGGCAGTTTGTTTTTATGGAGATAAGAATTTTGGTTAATTTGTGTGTTTTCCAAGTTTATTTTGTGAATTTTTTTGTGTCATAGGAATAGTTCAAAGGGTCACGTTATAGGGCTTTTAGAGGGAAGTAGCTTTGTGTGAATTGTGAATCTGCTTTCTAATATGGTTTTGTACTTTTAGTAGTTATCCTTGTATAGAATTATAGACTAGGAGCTTCCATTATGGTGGTGACTACTGAATAGTAGTGATTATAATGTTTGATTAGGTATGCCATAGTATTTTCATTTTTAACTTAAAATTCATGTTTTGAGCTCAATAGTAATTACTATGTTTAATTAGCTAGTAAGCATCAGATATTGTAGACCAAAACTGAAATTTCTGTTACATGTCTGTGTTCAAGATGCTAGTGAGTGTGGGAAGAAAAACGGAAAAGCTAATGAGGGATTTCTTGTGGGAGGGGAGGAGAAAAGGGACCTGAGTCAATTGGGATGTAGTTTGTAGGAGTAAGGAGGTTGGCAGTCTAGGTTTAGGTAACTTGCTAAAGAGGAATGAAGCCTTATTGGGGAAATGGTTGTGGAGATTACCTGTGGATAGAAGCAAACTTTGGGCTAAAGTGGTGGTAAATATCCATGGGCTTGTGGCTAATGATTGAGATGCTGGTGTACTAACTAGGGCTGCCAGAGCTTTCCCTTGGAAGGCCATCCATGCTATCCTGCCTTCTTTTTTGCCTTTTGTCAGATATGATCTTTGTTTTGGGATCTGTATAAAATTCTGGAAACAATTGTGGGTGGGCAACCTCTCCTTGAAAGACAAATTTCCCTCTTTGTTTGCTCTCTCAAGATACAAAGATGAGCTGGTTTCTACCTTTCTTGTTCCCTCTAGCTCAAGAATTGGGTTTGACTGGGACTAAATGATCTTTTGGATTTGACTCTTGCCCTCGATTGGTCCTTTTTGGATCCTTCCAATTCTAATAGCTGCATTTGGACCCCTTCCTCCTTTGGTGTTTGTTGAGCAAGAGCAAGTGAAGAGAGGAGAAGAGAAGAGAGAAGAGAGGTGAGTCGAGTGACTGAAAGCCCTCTAGAACTTAGGGGGCGAATGAATGAATTTATTATTTATACTAGTACAGTCGAACAATATAAACAGAAGATAAATTACAACAGTACCCTTATGGTACTAAACCTTAATACATAAACAACTGTCAACACTCCCCCTCAAGTTGGAGCATAGATATCAATCATGCCCAACTTGTCACAAAGATCATGATGTTTGGAAAGGTTTAAACCCTTTGTAAAGATGTCTGCAAGCTGGTTCTCAGAAGTGACATAGGGGATACACACTTCGCTTGTGATAACTTTCTCTCTGATAAAATGCTTGTCAATTTCRATGTGCTTTGTTCTATCATGTAGCACCGGATTGGCAGCAATGCTTATAGTTGCTTTGTTATCGCAAAATAGAGTTATAGGTTTGGCCACTGGGAAACCCAACTCCCCCAACAAATTCTTTATCCACATGCCTTCAGCAACCCCGTGGGCCATAGCACGATATTCAGCTTCAGCACTGGATCTAGCCACCATATTTTGCTTTTTACTCCTCCATGTAACAAGGTTCCC